GCTCTATCCACTGAGCCAAACCGGTTTCCGCAAGCTACTCCCTTTTAGTACTTGTTCTGACCCTCTGGTGATGTCCAGGAGAAAGCCTCAGTGAGGGGGCAGTGTGTCTTGACCATCTCTCTCAGACTTGCTACTCCCCTCTTTATGGCAAAGAGAGCTTCAGCCCTGGCTGGTTTGGCTCGGTGGATAGACTGTCAGCCTGCCGACTGAAGGGTCCCGGGGTTCGAGTATGGTCAAGGGCGCATGCCTGAGTTGCAGGATTCTCTCTCATCATTGATGTTTCTCTCTCTCCCTCTCCCTTCCTCTCTGAAATCAATAAAATATATTCTTAAAAGAGAGAGAGAGAGAGAGCTTCAGAGCCTCCCAGAAGGGTCAGTGTACATTATTTGTTTTTATTGTGCTTATTTATGGCTATCTTTTATTTATGGGACATATTCTGTTTTGCATTTACATTAGTAACATAAAACATCTTTTAAAATAATTTTTTAAAAAAATAGGTTGAAATAAAAAAGAAGCAAATAACTCAGGTAATAGTTATAAGCTAGGAAATTATGCCTTTATGATGACTCCAATTTGGGAAGGAGGAGTGTCTTTGGAGGTGAAGATCCAGTCAGCCATGCAATAGTTAAGTGGCCCTGGGTCACAGGAACCTGCCTGTCAAACTGAAGCTACTGTAGTCAGCACCACATAATGACATGTGGTCAACGAGGAACCACATATACGACAGTGGTCCCATAAGATAGTAATGCAGCTGAAAAATTCCTACCACCCAGTGACATAGCAGTCACAGCGCGAGGCATTGCTCACGTGTCTGTGGTGATGCTGGTGTAAACAGCTTTCTGCTCTACCAGCCGTGCAACAGGAGTGCCCATACGATCAGAGTAGTGGGCTACCCCATTTAGGCTTCTGGAAGTGGACCCTAAGCTGTTCACACAGAACAAAATTGTCTAACGATGCAGACCGTATCCCATCATTAAGCACGGCGTGACCGTGCCATCTACTTCACAGAGCCAGTGTGACAAGGAAATGAGATGGTGCAGATGACTATACTAGATAGGCTTCCCGAGGTCATGGAGTGTAACTGATCTGTCTTCTCATTCCTTAGCTTCTAATGCAGTCCTTAGCACATTGGGCTTAATAAGAGCTCATTTTCTTTATTTCCTTCTGTGTTGCTCCTTAGTACGGTCACATGAACATTCCTATGGTGTTATAAAGCAGAGAGTATTGTATAAGAACACATGAAACATACACAAACATGTATAATCTTGTATTTTTCCCTGTGATTATCAAAGCTATATACATTGACTGCATACACTATACATATGAAAGTTATAAATACATAATGAAGCAAGAAAAGAATTCCTGAAATACCCCTATATACACATCACACCTCAAAATCAACCACTCTTAATTTGACAAACTTCTATTTTTTTCTATAATAAAAAAAAAATCTTTACACAACTGAGATGCTATCATTGCCAGTTTTGTAATCTGTAATTTTCACTTAACAGTAGATCATAGGCTTTGTTTTAAAAAGATGTTTTTTTAAATGGATTTTAGAGAGAGAGGAAAGGAGAGAAAGAGAGAGGGAAATATCAATGTGAGAGAGAAGAGAAACATAGATTGGCTGCCTCCTGCAGGCCCCCTACTGGGAATTGAGCCCACAACCGGGGCATGTGCCCTCACCAGGAATCGAACTTGCAACCTCTTGGTGCACAGGAGGACACTCAACCAACTGAGCCACACCGGCCAGGGCAGATCATAGGCTATTTGAGTTGACGTTTGACACTCTTCCATTCAACATGATTTTTAATGTTAGACCCACACTGAGGCCTTTCTTTTCCATCCATCGGGGGATCTACCATCAGAATGTCAACCTGTGAACTCTTTGGTAAAAGGTGGGACCACACAGACTATTTGGGGTTGGGGATCATGGCTGTTTTGGGGAGATGCTAGGGGAAAAGAGGGAGATAAAGGGAGGTGGGAAGAGAAAGAGCTTCGTGGTCACAAGTTGGATTGTGGAGTCCTGAATAGGGAAGATGGTTGCCTTGGCTAAACTTGGAACCCACCCATAATCTTGGGCTCCCTCTGCTGGCCTCTCAAACACATCCACTGGGTGATGAACAGGAGCCATGACTAAGCAGGAGCCCAGTCCATTGAAATCACCTGTGATGGAGAGAAAAGAGAAACAGCCAGCTTAATGAAATTTTTTAACATCAAAGATTACATCAACATTGATGGATTGACTGATTGTGCTTATTCAGTTGAAACAGGTTAGAATCTGAGGCCCCCACCCCTTCCCTGTCCCTTTCTCTTATTCTCTGCCTCCGGGAACACAATTAGAAAGGGCTCAGCTTTCCTTTGCAAGATTCTTAGTCTCCTGCTAGGCCTCTGGTGATCTTGTTGGTTGTTTCTCTTAACTGCATTTTGCTGTTGCTTTTCTCTCCTTTTCTAGCGTCTTTGCCACGCCTCACCCCCTTGCCGGTGCCACTTGTGAATAAAAAAGTAACAGCAAAACCCTGCCTTTGCCTTGTAAAGCAGAGCTCCATTAGCTCCTGTAATTATGCAGCCTCTTATTTCTCCATTTGTGCTTAATTCAAAGCTGTAAAAAGCTTTTCAAAATAGGTGTATGCTTGACTTGACAGTTGTGATAAAACAATGCCTCCAATAAGGAGAAAACAAGACACATTTGTAATTTCCTTCTCCATCATTTATACTGACTTAGCTCCCCCCACCAGGAGATAAGAATTTCTTTGGGAACAATTTTCTTTTAATCGCGCCATCTGAAGCAGCACACATTTCTCTTGCCGTCATTAGAGCTCCTAGCCTACAAAACAGGGACTGAAGATTGAGTTAGGATCTAGAGAGAGGCCGCCTGCATCACATAAATAAACAATGAGGCCTGGGCCATTTCAGTACAGAACTTACATAAGCAGGCCAGATGGTCAGCTGCCGTGCCACACATGCATAATCTGGCTAAAAAATGACAGTGTAGGGTCAGAAGCACTAATGTACTCCCAGTGCCACTCATTTACTTCTTTTACACCAAGCACCAAAGCTGTGGGTCAGGCAAATTATTGCGGGCGGTAATGCAGACAGATGACACAATAAGGGGATTGTTGAACGATGAGAGGACAAATACTAAATTAACTTAAGGATTGAGTCAATCTAATAAAAGTTATTTGCCACTCATCCTTCTCACTGAGTTGCTAGTGACAAAAGATATAATAGTAATAAAGTAAAATCAGTTAATGTGTATTTAAACACACATAAAAAGGTAGGTTATTATCTTAATGGTTCGTGTAACAAAAGTTTAGAGCTTCAGGTATAGCTGGTTCTAGAAGCTGTTAAACAAACGAACAGAATTCAGCGGGGCTTTATTCTACAATTCCTGGATCGCACAGCATCCCATCCAGCAGTAAGAACGCGCTCCCAGGACGTGTCTACAGTGAAGAGGGTGGAAAAGGGAAGTTTCTGGGCCAGGGTGGGTTGTTTCAGGCAGGGGCTGGGCAGGCTGATGACCTCACCAGTGCTCACCAGGTAAATCCAGCTTGACTGGCTGAAGGTGACATTTCCGGGAGGAGCTAAAACTGCAGTTGGGTTAGCTAGTAAGTCATGGGCTTAGCACCCGTGACTCCGTTTTGGGGCCGTTGTCTTTTCTTCAACAATACTCAGGTAGGGTTGGCAGGTCTCTTTCGTCCTTGCTGGCTTCATGTACAGCACGCTGTCTCTGCCGGTGCTCACGGATGCTCTGTCTACGCATGAACACATTCAAGCCCAGTGAAAGAGAGTCTTTGCCCTAATCATCCCAGCAAAAGATCAGGGATTACATCTCTTTGGCTACGTTCAGACATGTGCACGTTCTGAACCAATCATTGTGTCTAGAATGGAAGGTGTTGACTGAATCATGTGCAATTCTGTGTGTGTGTGTGAGGGGGGGCGGTGGGTGTGAGGGGAGATGAGGGAGTTTGTGGATAGCGCTACCAAAACAGCTAGACTAAGACTAAAATCTACATGCTATTCGCAGCAGATGGTGGGATGGAGGCCAAATAGGTAAGAGATGCTTAATCCTTCAATGAATGCAATGTAGAAAAGAGCAGTCCCTAGAACCTTCAAATGAATTCACTTACCATATGAGATGGACCCCACTAAACACTGAACAATGTCCTCAAGTCTGAAGCTAAATTTATTAGGAGGCTGAACTAGCACGTGTTCTTTGTAAGTAAACACAATCTTACAGGTACCTTTCAATGCTATCAAATCTCAAGTTTCCCATTTTCTCAAATGACAGAAGAAAGTCTTATTGTATCATATCCTTCAGCGTGTTGTATTAAACAAAATGCGTGGCAGCCAATCTGACAACACCACACTGAAAGGGTCAAGTGAACGTAAAAGTAATGGTTAACTGACAGGTTCCAGGCTGCTTACAACTTTAGAAACATCTCTTTCTTTTAAGCTGCACTTGGGCCATTTACTGTGTTACTCTGGTGGTGCCACCATCCTTCTGGAATTTCTCACTAGTCAACAGACTATGTACTAAAAGGAATTATTGTTACACTTCAATATAGAAACAGGACACACACTCACACACGCAAATTCGTACATATAAAACCGCTGAAATGTGAATGAGATAGATGATATCAATGTCAATTTCCTGGCTATGATTTTATTCTATAGTTTTTCAAGATGTGACCATTATGATGGTTGGGTGACACAGGATCCCTCTATAATTTTTTATAATTGCATATACATCTAAATAATCTCAAATTTTATTGTAAAATAGCATAAGACAAACAAACAAAAACTTAGTTCTAGGGTTGGCCTTATGCTGATAACAATGTCCTGTGACAGTTTGATGGAGGCAAATATTTGAAATGTTTTTCCAAATAATGGTTGAATGTGCTCTCATCTTCACACAGACTCGGAAACTGGACTGAAGTTGTTGAAGTGCTTGCTGGGCTGGATGAAAAGCACTCAGCACTTGGCTGTGGGAAGAGTTCTGAAACAAGGTCTAAGTAAGTATTCATTCAACACATACTTATTTTTTAAAAGTTGAGGTTGCCCTAGCCGGTTTGGCTCAGTGGTTGAGCATCGACCTATGAACCAGGAGGTCACGGTTCAATTCCCATTCAGGGCATATGGCTGGGTTGAGGGCTCCATCCCCAGTAGAGGTCATGCAGGAGGCAGCTGATCAATGATTCTCTCTCATCATTGATGTTTCTATCTCTCTCTCCCTCTCTCTTCCTCTCTGAAATCAATAAAAATATATTTTTTAAAAAGTCGAGGTAAAGTTTACATAACATAAAATTAATTATTTTGCAACATAACATTAACCATTTAAAGTAAACAATTCAGCAGCATTTAGTACATTCAGAATGTTGCACAACCACCATCTCTATCCAGGTGCAACAGTTCTCATCACCCAAAAATAAAACCCCATACCCATTAAGCAGCTTCCTGACAGGTACTTTCCACGTGGGTCCTACATTTTGCTTAATGTGCAAAATTTATTCTGCTTCAGCTGAGAATGCCTAGTATCTTAGCAAAGCTCAGCTGAAGGATAGCTGGAGGTGGTGTGTGTGAAGTACAATATGAGACACTGGTAAATGCTAAGAAGGACACTATGATGTCAGCACAGGCCAACGGCGGTCTACCGGGATGTATGGAGAATGTGGGTTTCTGGGAACACTGAAGTAAAGGAGGCTGAACTGAGGCCAAGAGAACAGAGTAAGATTTGGGCTCTCTCTCTCTCTCTCTTTGCATTTTTAAATAAATTTTATTTTTCAATTGCAGTTGACATACATTATTACATTAATTTCAGGTGTATAACCCAGTGATTAGACATTACATCATTTACTAAGTGATCTTTCCAAAAAATCTCACACCCGTCTCACACCATACATAGTTATTAGAATACTAGTGTCCTGGTGCATGGATTCGTGCACATTGAAAGGAAATTAATTAAAAGAAATATTTTACTATCGCTGTTCACCCTTTCTCTATAATAGAAGTGTCAACCAAATTCATGATCGACAATGACAGATTGAAACACACGCATGCAATTGGCGCCAGCAAGAGCTTTATATGTATCATGCATGTGCTAGTCAACTTAGCCTTTTATAGATATAGAATAAACTTGCTTAATTGGACCTGCTTTCTGATTTAGCTAAACTTTTTCCAGCCCAGTGAAGCACCCCAACTTCTCTTTCATGTAACTGTCAGCAACACAGCAGTAAATATCAACATGAAGCAGATTATTATTGTAGATCATGCGGGGAGAACAAAGGGTAAAATATTTAACTGCAGCAGTGTTTGACTATATTCTGCGCAGTGAGAATACCTGAAGTCATTTTCAAAGTCCACCATTTCTTACTTCTTTTCAGTCTGGTCAAGTATCTAAACTTTCTAAATCTCCATTTTCTGGCTAATGAAAAGAAAATAGGATTCTACCGAGTCTCCTATCTACCTACTCCAGGACTTCTGTGAGGATCAAATGAGAGAAGGCACAGAAAAATGCTTCACAAACATTTGGTTAAAGTGTAAAATGTTTGCACATGGCTATAAAGCAAGTCGTGTTCCTGGGCTGAAGAAACTCCAAGGAGGCTAGTCGCTAGGGAGAAGAAGCTGGGCGTTGCTACATGACGTCAATACCTGGCACCCACAGTGACTGTTTCTCGGCTGGGCTGGGCTGTGGGCCGCATTTTGCACCATGGGGTCTCAGCAGCATTGGCTGCGATTTGGTAAGTGTTGCTCTGGGGTGGTGGCAGGCCCTGTGTCCCACTTGGAGGAAGCCGAGTGTTGGTTTGTTGGTGCCAGGTCTGTGGTGCCGTTTATTTTTAAATAGCCAGTGTGCATCATGGCAGCTCCTGAATTGAGCATCTGCCCCCTGGTGGTCAGTGTGTGTCATAGCTACCGGTAGGACCGATGGACACTTAGCCTTTTATATATATAGATTATTGTCTATATCCCCTATGCTGTACTTCACATCCCCATGACTAATCTGTAACAACCAATTTGTATTTCTTTTTTTTTTAATATGTTATTGATTTTTTTTACAGAGAGGAAGGGAGAGGGATAGAGAGTTAGAAACATTGATGAGAGAGAAACATTGTCAGCTGCCTCCTGCACACCTCCTAATGGGGATGTGCCTGCAACCAAGGTACATGCCCTTGACCGGAATCAAACCTGGGACTTTTCAGTCCATAGGCCAACACTCTATCCACTGAGCCAAACTGGTTAGGGCAATTTGTACTTCTTAATCCCTTCACCTTTTTCACTCATCTCCCTAACCCCCCTCACGACTGGCAACCATCAAAACATTCTCTGTATCTATGAGTCTGTTTCTGTTCTGCTTGTTTTTAGATTCAATTGTTGAATATATATATATATATACACTAGTGGCCTGGTGCATGAAATTCGTGCACATTGAAAGGGAATTAATTAGAGGAAATATTTTAATATTGCTATTTGCCCTTTCTCTATAATAAAAGTGTGAGATATAAAAGGAAATGAGTACAATGTATATGAAAATAATACATAATTTTATTAATAAATAAACAGTAATAAAATGAAATAACAACAAACTCATGATGTAAAAGCAACAGTGATGCAAACAATGACTGATAAAGTAAACTTATTCTAATATCTCCCTGTATACCACATTAAGAGTAAAAACACTTTCAGAGTGCTTGACTAATTTCCCTTGGGATAAAGTATTTACAACTTTAACTTTAACATCACACGCTCTTCGAACTCGAGAGAAAGCAACATATAATTGACCATGTGCGAAAACGGGTTCAGGTAGGAATATTCCTACTCTGTCTAGAGTTTGTCCTTGTGATTTATTAATAGTCATCGCAAATGCTGGCATCACGGGAAACTGTCGTCGAATCAATTTAAATGGGAGGCCAGTGTCAGATGGGGACAAATAAATTCTTGGAATCAGAACAACCTCACCCTCTGCAGATCTTGTTAATACTTCAGCTTCTATAATGTTAGGTAGTAATCTTTTGATAATAAATCTGGTACCATTACAAAGACCCCATTTACTATTGAGATTTCTCAATAGCATGATGATTGCACCCACTTTCAATTTTAATTTATGACATGGCATTCCCGAAGGAGTCATACTATTCAGAAATTCGATGGGAAAATTTTCCTTTTCAGCATCATCTGTGGAGTCAATGGAATCATCACTCAAATATGTGTGAAAATCTCCATCGAGTATATCCAAAATTTCCTCATTTAATTTTTGAACATGCTCATTTTTTGGACAAAGAATTGCACGTTTAGATATATTTTTAATATTATCTATAGATATACTATTTCCAAAGGTGGCTTCAATAATAGATCCGTTACAAATCATTTCACGGGGGATTCAATAATATCCGTTCCTAAATGAAAACTGCTATCAAGTTTGCCATCCCCAAGTCTTACTAACCATTCACTATAAGCAGAATCCTCTGCTCTCATATTTGTTGTAAGAGACAACTTTCTGAAACATCCCCAAACATTGCAGTACTTTAAACTCGTTTGTACTATGGCCGATCGCATAGCATGCGATACAATACTGAGACATTGTCGAAAATCCCCTCCGAGAAGGAGAACTTTCCCACCAAATGCAACATCCAAATTCATAATTTCTCTTAGTAATCTGTCTATGGCATTTATAGCATGACTGGATGCCATGGTGCATTCATCAATAATAAGAAGTTGGGCCTTTTTAATGATTTTAGCAACTTCACTCTTTATATCGAGTCTAGAAATTGAAGTTTCATTTAATGGAATCAGTAATTTATATTGGGAATGAAAGGTTCTTCCACCAAGAAGTAAATTTGCAGCAATTCCTGTAGATGCTGTGGGTAAAACAGTACCACCACGACCTCTAATATAATGTGTTAAAACTTTATACAGATATGTTTTTCCACTACCACCTGGACCATCCAAGAAAAAGCATTTGGGGTGTACAGTTTGATCTTCCATGGCTGAAGTTATAGTCTGAAAGGCTGCCAACTGTTCATCATTCAGAGAATTTATCAAAACCTCTGCCCTTTGTTGCTCGTGCAATTGATCACATGTATTTGCATTAGTTAATAAAGGATAGTCCGGAAGTTTGAAATGTGAACATTTCATTCCATGCAATGTGAATACCTCTTGAACTTCGTTAAGGGCGTGTGTTTCACAGTTTACACAGGCACCTTCTCTTCGGTGTAATTTCCAACAGAAATCTTCAATAAAATGAGATTTATTCTCTTCCCATAATTTGTCTGCAGCAGAAGGATATCCAAACACACATATATATGCAAAAAGTTGCCGTAGTTGTTTGGGCATATTAAGGATGATTGCATCGTCAATCGTATCTTTCCAAATAGTGTCATCAAGTAATAATCCCCGGTGTTTAGCAGCTTCACGAAATGTATCATAAGTTACACCTCCTACAGTTTGCAGATCCTCAAAACTTACCGCACCTTTTACATGCAGAAGCAAAAGTCTAAGGTAATATCATTCTGGTTCTCTAAAGCTCACAGTGAACAGTCTACCTAATACTTTATTCCCCCCCTTTCGGCGTTTTGTCCACAAAGAATTAGTAAACACATAATGCTGTGGGATCTCCCAATAATAATAATTACGTGCCTCAGAGTCTTCTCTATTCAATAAGAACCAAGCCATCAAAGTTGAGTTATGCCTTTTAGCCCTATCTAAAACTTCAGCAAAATCATCTGCATGAAAATATAAATTCTGATCATTTGGCAAATGAATAGCTAATCTTGTGATTGCATGAGATTGGTCATGCATTCGCATTCCAAAAAGTCTCCAAACAGGCTCAGGAGCGCTCACATACCTGGAGTCAATGAAGTCCTGTACTTCGTCATGATTGATAATATTTTTCTCAGAAATTTGAATATTTGCACAGTCGTGCCCTTTATAGATGTATTTAAATAGATACTTGACACTTCTAATTGATGCACAGACTTCAACATTTATATGACAGTTATACTTGAGGCACAAATATAGG